ACTCTCACCTTTTCTGATTGCTTGCCACACTGACTGAGGCTGATAGGTATTGCTTTTTAAAAACCTGACTGCTATCTTGGTTATAATGACTTTGATTCCTACTGTTGCTTTAGCTTAGATAGATTCCTTCAAATAATGCTTTAACATTATTTTAATTGTTTTCTACCTTGAATATTCTTTCAGGAGAAAGACAGGAGAGAAAAACGCATGCCTACATCCATACTTAAGAACTTCAGTCTGTGTAACTCAGCACTGAACTATTTGCAATTTTTGAAGGGAAAAAAAGTATTTTAAATTTCAGACAAATAAACAGCCAATTTGTAGGCAAATGCCAGAAATTTTCTATGGAAAGAAATTACATTTTATACAAGCAAGCCTAGCAAAATACTGAGATCCATGTCGCAGATCAAAAAGTCCTCATCGTATCTAGTCTTGCTTATTTGCTATGGACTTGATGAAATACATTTCCTCACCCACTCCAGATCAATTTCTTATCACCTGAAGAGTCTGAAAAGGTTTTGTTTATTTGTTGTTGTTGTTTTTTAAATATCCCACTTGAACCTTTCTTATTGAGCACGGGAATATTGTGACAGAAAATAAAAAGAGTGAAACTGAGGGGATTCCTTCTACTTATTGCTCAGCAATTTCAAGGGCTTTTGAAACTTTTCAGAAGTTATTGTACCATCTAGGGAGGGATGAAACTGTCAAATCTGGTGTATCTCAGTTACTCATACTTCCAGTCTTATGTGCAGTTCTCCTGATTTCCACAGCGGTTTGCAGTTTTTAAAAAAGCCATCCCAAATATCAACCCGCATTTTAGTTCTCTTTTCTCTTAATATACACATTTTTGCAAGCCATGTCCCCAAATTTGATATGCTATTTTCACTAATATATACATTTTAATGTCTACTCCCCCCTGATATATGCATTTTTGTCCAGGCTACTGGGTTGCAGAACTGCACCACAAAATGCAGAGAAGTGTGAATTTTGGTGACCGTGTTTTGGTTTATGCAGCGTTTCAGAAAGTTCGAACCAGGCAAGTTCATATTAGAATCCCAAGTGAACCACATTTCTCCCTCCCTTCCTGTAGGGTCTACCCTTGAGCCATAACCATGGGAGAGTCACTTAGGTTGGTGGCTTTTTTCAAGATGCCCACAAGCCCAGAACATCTATGCATCTCGTTGGTCAAGCGGAAGGCAAGAGGGCTCTTCCTGCTGTTAGCATATGCCCTGTGTCACTTGAGGTCCTTCTGTCTAAAAGAGAGAACATAAACACACACAAAATGCTACGAGAGCTGTGTCTGTCAGGTTTATCTGCTAAAGCCGCTTAGTCTCTGACCGCTTACATTCTGTTATCTGTTTCCTTATGTATATTTCTCAACCTTCTAGCCAGCTCTTTAGAGATGTGCATGCTAAGTGATGGAAGGGACCACAGAGACACTCCGAGGAGCTCTGCTAAAGGGTGGAGAGAAAGGGGTTAACTGACCATCATCAATTACAGCATCCAAGGGGGGTGATTAGGCCTGAAATTGCTGGGAGGTTTTTAATTTAGCTCCACGTAGAGGAGAAGGTCGCTGCGGCTTCCACCCTCGCTGCTCCTGCCCCCCCAGCTTAGCTGAGCTCATCAGATCATATACCGCTTACGCCTTCATCCGCTTACCATACGCTGCTACTCTGAGCTATTGTGTGTGGAGAGGGCACCAAGCAGGCACTCTGATATAATATTATTCCTTTGTGCATCCTCTCTCCAGGTCCACTGTCACATCCTCCTGTCTCAGAACTGCCTATGAAGCAGAATTCCCTTTTGAAAAATAAAATAAAATGTGGTTTAGAAAAAAGGAAGGAAGGAATATTATGCTAGCCATCTGTACAAAAGATGTTGTAGAAAACTTTCTCAGTATGGGGGAAAATCCCACTCTCCTGTTAAAAATTGAACACAGGTTGTTGTCTGGAATGAAGCCCTCCAGCCTTTGTTCTAGAGTATACGATCCTATAAATGCAAACGCCTATGTAACCTTAGTTAAGTTAGTCATTGTGAACATCAGCTTTCTCCAGTCTGGGCTCTTCCAGAAGTTTTTGGACTACATGTCCCATCAGCCTCTGACAATATACTAGCTGGGTCTGGTGGGAGTTGTAGTCCAAAGCATTTGGTAAGCCCTGGGTTGGGGAAGGCTGACGGTAGTGCTAGTCACCCTTTCTCTCCCCCCGCACAAGGAGTGTTCACGTGTTACATTCAATGAGGCGACAATCTGTTTACCTGTATAGACTCATGCAGTTATTCACTTGTGCAGTTCGGTCTGTGCACATGTGTAAACAATAGCTGAGATGCACAAATCACCCATTGTGTACCAGTTCTTGTAGATGGATAGCTACAGCTGGTACCTGTGCTCGGTGTGGTGTGTGAACATTGCATGTTGACAAGCGTGAGACCATACTTGCTGCCTGTGCCTCCTCCCATCACATCTCCTGCCAGCCCCAGCCTCTGCCCTTCACACACTGGAGTAGGTCTAAGTGGGGAGCCCGAACCACAGAAATTGGGATCCCCTGTGCAAGTGAACAGAGCCAGTGTGTCCCACTTATCTGCCAGTCAAGACCAATAAAATTGAAAATCTGCAGCCCTCTGGCTGCCACTATGTGCTCACTTTTAAAGTTTGTGTAGGATTAAGATACGGGCTGCCTTCAGAGGAGGAGGTGTGTCATCATGTGGTGTACTGCCTTCCTGAAATATGGCAATCCCAGAACAGTAGTGCAGTCAGGGATACAGTGAGTAGCCTCCTCTGTTACCTTTTATCCATTAAAAAGGCCTTTGCTTTTTGTAGGAAATTACTGAACTAGAAGTTTGCATAGTTGTGATAAATGATGCCTTCTTCTTGTGGCAAAAAATAACATTATAAATTAAATACACCTGAACTAGTCAACATCTGTGAGTGGTTTTTTGGTTTTTGTTTTTATGGAAAATCTTAGTCTTTAGCAAAAAAATTCAAATGCAACTCTTTTTTTAAAAAAAAAATACTGAACATTTATATGCTATACAAAGTCTAGAGGAGGATCAATGCCTTAAACCTCTTAGATACAAAAACATGCATTCATCGATTTAAGCAAATGGGGATAGCCTTAAGAACTATGGGGAAGCACAACCTGAAGAGCAAAGGAAAGAGATTTGTTCTGAACAATGCTATCATTTTGCAATATTTTACTGAACTAAACATTGGGATGGAAATTGGGATTGAAATATATTAATGGCAATATTAGTTAGTGTAACTTAGCATATGTGATTTTTTTATCCATTTGTTTGCACGGCCTTATATTTATCGAAAGTTGTATAAACATACAGTTATGTATATGTTACTGTACATTTATCTGGAGTTATTTTTTTAACTGTAACTGCTTTTAGATGCTTTTGATTGTAATTATTCTCAGAATGTATCTATCTGTTTTGGAATGTTTTTAACTTTGTTTTGTTTTTAGATTGTATATCTGTCTGCTGTCCTGTTTGGATTCTTTGGGGAGGAAAGGCAGGACATAAATTCAATAAATAATAAAATAAAGAACATTGAAAAATAAAGAAATTGCTGCTTAGAGAAAGCTGCCTCACTCTGCCTTATTCAAAGGGCTGATCCTTGTCTTTCTCAGTTGGGAAAGGACGACTCTGTCCAGTGCGATCTCTCTCTGTTTCTCATTTCTCCATTCTTAAGCTTGTTTTGCCCCATTTCTCCACACGTTTCCATTTAAAAAAAAAAAAAAAGCCTGAAAATTTATATGCATTCTTATCTTATTTCTCCCAGCACACACAATTCCATGCACAAATTTGCCAAGCATTAATACTAATAATACATTTTCAGTTTGTTGTTTGCCTCATAAAGGGCAGTCTCTAGGTGACTTACAAGAAGGTTAAAAACAACATGCTTTTCTTTGCAAGCTTCTTCTCCAATAGAATGCATTTCTGTATGTCATTTTTCACTAATAAATGCATTTTAGTATGCATTCTTTAGTTGGAGAACTGCATTGCAAAATTGGGTGAAGTGCGAAGTTTCCAAGGACAGCTTTGCTTTTTGTTTGCATGCTGGTTCTAGACCTGCAGATTGGGCAGGTTTGCATTAAAATGTGAACCAAATGAATTTCTCCACCATCCCTCTGTTCAATATAGCAAGGAAGAGAGATGGGTGAGTGAAGGGACCTGCAGATGAGTGAGTTCAGGCACGGGCAAAAGAAAGTAGTGAGTACAACCAAATTAGGAACACAGGATGATGGAAGCTGATCTATGCCAGGTTTGTGCTTGAAAGGTATGTTGTGTACACAGCTTTATGCTGACTTAGACCACTGATTTATTTAGTGCAGCACTGCCAACACTGACTGGCAGCAGCTGTCCAGGTTTTCAGACAGGGTTCTCTCTCAGTCCTGCCTGGGACTGAAGGGGCTAATGCACTCCTGTTGCCTTTACACAAGACAATAACACTGAACCAGTCCCAGGTTCAATCCCTGGTGTCTCCAGTTAAAAGGATTAAGCGACAGATGATAACAGACCCTTCCCTGCCTGAGACGTTGGAGGGATGCTGCCAGTCAGAGTAGACAGCACTGGGCTAGATGGAGAACTTGTCTGATCTGGTGTAATGTAGATTCCTGCCAATCCTGAGCACTGAAGTATCTCATTATGCTAGGTTGCAGCTCTCTTTCCTGATGAGCTCCATTCATCTTGACGGGTCATGTTGTAAAGACCAGATCCAGCCCTTTCTCATTTGCTGTTGCCCCTGAACGAGATATATGTTTCAATGGAGAGAGGAGCTGCCCAGCTTTGGGAAGGCAGGATTCTTACAATTAAAGATCAGATGCTTCAGCTGCAGATAGTATAGGAAAGGGCTGGCCAATATGGTGCCCTCCAGAGTCAGACTACAATGCTCATCATCTCTGGCCATTGGCCATGCTGCCTGGGCTGATAGGAGATAGAGTAGCTATGCTTGATATAGAGCCAGGACCAGCTCCAGGTTACTGGGGCTCCTAGGAGACCTGCTCACATTTAGCTCAGTGGCAGAACATCTGTCTTGCAAACAGAAGCTCCCAGGTTCAATCCCCAGGTAGGGCTGGGCATGTCCACTGTCTGAAACCCCTGGAGACCCACAGCTGGTCAATGTCCACAATACAGAGCTAGATGGGCTCACTAGAAAGCAGCTTCCTATGTTCTTATGGGCTCATTGGGCAGCAGGCACTGTCTTGGAGAACCTGCCTACCATTTCAACTTCCCACAATAACCTGGAGTGACGCCATGTTGTATGGACCAGGATCCTGTTGGAAAATGGAAGGTGAACATAAGAAGCTGTCCTGTGCTGAATCAGAACATTGGACCATCGAGCCCAGCAGTGACTGGCAGCAACTCTCCAGGGGTTTCAGACATTCCTAGCTCTTTCTGGAAATGTTGGGGATTGAACATGATACACTCTGCATGCAAAGCAGATGCTCTATCATAAAACAGCCCTTCACATGGTGAGTCTTGCTAGGGAGCTTGGTTGCTGGTGGTGTGAGGTTGTGTTGGAGCTTGACCTGAATGGTGCTAAAGATGTGCTATCCTTGGTTCAATCCTACGGTCAACACAAAATATTTTTTTAGCTAGCTGGCAAACAGATTTTTTGTTTATTTCTTGTCACCCAGTGAGCTTCATGGCTGAGTGGGATTCAAACCCTGCTCTCCCAGGGTCCAACACTCTAACCATTACACCACACTGGCTCTCTGATGCACCCCAGTAGCGAATCTCATGGATACTTTAGGTTGGAGCATCCCTGTTATAACAGGAACTGGCTGTTTGTATCCTAATGCCTGGCCCTAAGCAAAGTAGTAACCATTGTTGCTTGTTAGGTGCAATTGAGGGGAGGGAAGTCAGCAATGGGAACAGGAAGGGGCTGGTATGATAACAAAATGTGGAGGAGAGTAGATAATATGCCCCATGCTCTCTCAGAACACCAATTGGGAGTAATGTGCCTCCCTGTCTTCCACCCACAGTGGGAGGGAGTTATCAAATGGCCACAAAGGAAACCAGAGAGGTATTTGTCAAGGTTGTTACTTACATCAAAAGTTTCTCCCCCGCCAAAGCTTTTCTTTCCCCTTATAGCAGATCAGGTGGAGTTTCGACTAACTGAGACCTGCGGCCATTGACCGCCGTTTGTACTTAGGGTGCTTTGTAATCCAACCTGAATTTTATTTCATTTCATCCCTCTGGTTTATGCTTGTTTACGACTTGTGTTTTCTTTCTGATACAGAACTAACATGTAGTTAATTTATCAGTTATGTTGGAGCGGATTAATTTAAGGCAGGAAGGTGATGGTAGTGGTGGACTTAGGTGAAGGTTGGTTAGATAACAGACCAAAGTCTCCAACAGGTGCATTTGTTTTAGTTTATAGGCAAAAGAAGATATTTTTCATTTTGCTAGGTAGAATTGTGAGCAAACAATTTCCATGGGGATTCTATCATGGAGGGGGGTGGGTGGGAAGCTGGTTGGAAAATCATTGAAGAGTGGGATTTGGTGGCAAGATGCCCCCTTTGCATGTCTCCTTTACCCCAACCTGCTTTGTATTGGGAGAAAGCTGCAGTGTGTGTGTGCGTGCGCAAACCCTAGGGCTTCTCTAGAGTTATCTACTACAGACTGAGCAAAGGTGATACCTGGGACACTGTAATCAATGAATATTTTCACACAGTAATTTTATATAGGGATAAGCTAATCTGTCCATTTCAATTTCTTATTTTTCAGCTCTCAAATTCAGTTATCCACATTGCCACGTGATTTTGCAAATTTTATTTATAAAAAGGCTTTGTGAAAATTCACTAGAATTTTTGTGAAAATTTCTCCTCACATGCACATTTTTTTTTGCATGCAGTTTTGCCTTAAATATACATTTTACACTAATATAATGCATGGTTTATGTTATTTTCAGCCATTTATTCACTTCTAGGCACACTTTATGCCAGTATATGAATTTTTGTACATGTTATGCAGCTGGAAAACTTCTGTGCAAATTTCGAAGGACAGCTGTGTTTCAGTTTGAATATTGTTTTGGAAAGTACAAATTAGGTAGGTTTGCCTTGACATGCAAACTGAATCAGGTTTATACCCCACCTCTAATTTGCAGCTTACTCTATTTCTCCTTTCATATTCCTTGTTCATATCCCTTTCATATTCCTTGTTCAGAGATGAACCATTGCTCAGCTGGAGAGCATCTGCATTGAATGCTTCGATCCCTGGCATTCTCAAGTATGGGTGGATGAGGCCCTGGTCTGAAACCCTGGAGAGCAGCTGCCAGTCAGAGTAAACAATACTGAGTCTGATGAACTCATGGTCTGATAAGGTGGCTTCCTATGTTCCTCTGGCCTCTTCTGTTCCTTTGCTTTGTCATGATCTTCCCTCTGGCCAAAATTTCTAGATGGTAACTTCTTTGAAGCAGGGAATTGTCTAGGGTTCTTAACATTATTATTTCCACTACTAATAATAATCTAATCAATTGATCATTTCCCCTTGCGGTTGTGTCCCACAATATTCTCAATAAAGAAATAGCAATGAAGAATTAATTGCTAAGACCCTTTTGGAAACCAACCTCTGTCATCAAAGTGTAGCGGTGAGCAAAGCAGCGAAAGAAACTCAGTGTTCCTTCCCACACTGACTATTCAAGACCATAAGCCGCAGTTAACTCTGTAGCCTCAGCAGTTCACCCCTTTGAATTCTGATATCTTAGCCATGTTGGCTGGTAATAGAAAGCCTTCTGATTTTCCACAGAGAAGCATTAGATACTGTTGCCGGAGGTCAATATAGTTCTGACCCCACTTCTTACTCCGACGCACCTCCCGATGACCTCAAAGGGAGTTCTGAGCGCCGTTGTAGAGGCAGCTCCTAATGTAAGTACTGATATGGTTAACTAGGGCTGCCGGATCAGGATTTCAAAAATCAGGCACACCGCCGAGTCAAAAGTGCCTGGCGAGCGAGGTTCAATAGCGCTGGACCCATCTGAATGGGAAGCATCTGTTCTGAATAGTGGCACAGCTCTAGAATTAGAGGCAGCCCTTGAAGGGAAGGCACCTTTGGCCAGTCTTTGCAAGGGCTGTATCAGTGTTTTTCTTGCACACTCAAATTAGCAAGCGGGCTGTGCGCTTGTGGAATCCGTTGGGGCATCCTGACTGTGCGGAACTGTGCCGTTCTTTGACTATTACTGGTAGTTTGTTGAGGAGTGGGGTGGGGGGAATCAATTCACCCAAACAAAAGTCTCATTGAATGCGAGAAATTAGGAGAAAGGAGCTTCTCCCGTTACAAAGCAGAGGACATATCATGAAGTTCATGTCCTTCAGAGGCATCCCTTAATATAGTAGGAGTTTAGTACTTTTTAAAAGCCAATGGCAGGCATCCAACGCTTCTCTCTTGGAGCTGTGAAGTTGTCTAGGAGAACTTTGCTGCCCTTCTGGCTATGCAAGAGGTAGACGGGAAACTTGACCAGACATTCTGTTGTAAGCAACATGGCAGGGCCATGACGTGGTGCTCTCCGGCTGATGGCCAATTACTCCCTCAGACACTGGGGCCCACTTCACTTTCGAATGAGAGGTTTTGCCACACTTGCCGCAGCAAACCCATTGCCTTGCATCAGGTCACAATTCCTTGTTTCTGAGTTTTATTACATCGCGGCCCGCCCCACTCTCCTGCAAGGACCAAGTTCTGAAATCCATGTCTACAAAGGCTAGGAATTAAATAAGTGACATGTGGCTTCTTTCGCATTAGTGGCAATGCACTTTCTTTCTTTCTTTCTTTCTAAGCCGTATTGGGAAAGATGTGATGAATTGTTTTAATGATAAACAACTGCCTAGATGAAAGACCTATTTTAAAGTTTTGCCTGTGTGATTTTTTTTGGTCACAGCCGATGGTTGAAAGAAATGAACTTACAGCACAAGTCCCCTTCACTTCAGTGGGGATTACTTGGAAATAAGACACATTGAGCTCAGCCTTGTTTATTTCCAACTACAAATGTATAGGATTCTCATGTTCCTTACAGGATAGAAATTAAGCAAAGTCACCTTTAAATTGAGATGCTCCATTTCTTTATTTTTCTAAAGGACTGATACGAACCCCTTTTTTGTGTGTGTGGAGCAGAGCAGGGAGAATTCAGAGCAGATTTTCAAGAATGATGAAGGAGCTAGAAAGACAAAGCTGATGAGGAAAGATGGGTTTTTAGTTACCATGGAAGAAAATTAATATTGCCGGTTCTGAGTACCCATCTTGTTAAAATCTGTGGCGTCTTGGGTAGCAGTGCAATCCTATACTAAGGTTACCAGATTTTTTTCAATGAATCCGGGGACACTTTTCAACTTCCCACTAAATAGATGGATTTTGTCAGGGGACTGATTTGTAAATCTGGGGACTGTCCCCGGGAAATGGGGATGTCTGGTAACCTTATCCTATACAGTGTATACACCTTACTTAGGAGTGAACCCTTTTGAGTTCATTGAGGCTGATACAGCAGTATAAATGCATGAGATCTATATTGCTGTAGAACAGCATCTTAGAATATTAATAATCTGCTTTTAATTATGAGTATTGTCTCCTCTCACAATAGAATTATGGTGACTGAAAAGAACAAAAAACACACACATAGGGATTCTTCTAAAAATTGCCTATTATGGAGCTTCTGCAAATAATTTAAAGGGGATGTATTTGATTTAGAAGCCAGACTCTTGTCTGTACTGCGCAGTAGGATAGATAGCAAAATTGTTTTCTCTTACTTACTGGGCATCAGCAAAGTTAATTTTTCAGCCCCCTTTGTAACAAGAAAATGCAAGCAGAATTTATATGACATGAATAGGGGAATGCCTGATATTAAAGCAGTAGTTGCTATGTTTGTTCTAGTATAATAAGAATAAGAATAATATGAACTATACCATGCAAGTTTTTTTTTTAATGTAATCAAGTAGAAGGAGAAGGAGGTGTAAGAAGAAAAGTTAACACACAATTGAATTGCAGACAAACTCATCATTTGGTCATTTAAAAATGTTATTTCAAGAAACTGTTTCAGAAGGGTTCTGCTGTTCCAATAACTGCATTAGGGAATGGATCCTTGA